ATTGCTCAAGCGAGACAAATATTTCAGGATTGGGTATCCTAGAGCATTCTCGCTTAAGCGAGGTAAGCCTCGCTTTATCTCGCTCAAGCGAGAAAAGATAGAGTTGCCTCAACTGTCCTCTCGCTCAGGCAAGAAAAGAGCTCGCCCAGGCGAGGAGCAGCTTGCCCAAGAACGAGATAGAGCGCGCTCAGGCAAGATGTCGCAGGAAAACAGGGTGCTCTTTGGATCCGTTCTTAATCAGGAGAGAATACTTCGTGCCTAGGCGAAAGTATCAGAAAAACCACTGTCTGGTTATCTCGCTCAAACAGGAAGAGCTCGCTCAAGCGAGATCCTGCTCGCTTAAACGAGAATGCACAGGTTTGAAGGGTATTTAAGGACTTCTGCTTTGAGAAATTTCATTTCTCACCAAAACCACTTTTTATTCTCTAATCTCTCTGTTCTCTCCCTCTCCTATCCTAGAGCAAGCCTTCAATATCTCTGAATCTCAATTGGATTTGAGCTCAAACGTTTGTTCTTTTCAGATTTAAGTAAGTTTCCGGAGCCCAATCTTTAAATCTATTTTGTGATGTTAGAAAGAACTCTAGTTCTTGAAAAGTGTTACCGATTGAGATGTGAAGTTTCTCCCTAAAGCCCACAAAGAATCTTGTTCTCAGACCCATTTCTAGGTAACGGGAGTATTCTCGAGCCTTAGTTTTATTTCTATATATAATGACCCCATATGATAAAAGTGGATTTTTGGTATAAAGAAAGGTTTTGAGTTTATTTGAAATCACTAGAATCAAATTCTTAGCAAAAGCCATGAGATAGAACAATAATAAGAAGTTTTATAATTAAGTTACTTGAGATGTATATGTGTTGAATGATAAATGGTAGAGAATACTGAACTTTAAGTTAGAAGACTCCATTGAGACTGAGGAAATATAATCTCCAGTAGATTATATATATGAAACTGTACAATTTGGGCTGAGTCCGAAGGTGTCCAACACCTGACATATTGTGTGTTAATATGTAATTGCCTGATAAATGTTTGTTGAATTGAATAACAATGTGTTATTGTGTGAGGTTATGTACTGATATAATAGAATATGATGATTGTATGAATTTGATGAAGTTTAGTCAGTACAGGAAAGAATAGATGTATTGATATGTGAATAAGAATTAGTTGGAATATGTGAATTATTGAATATGTTTTGATTAATCAAATGATGAAAAAGAAGATTAAAAATACGATTGTCAATAGGGATGCATGAGTATGATTTTGGAAAAACTGTGTGATATGAAAAGTGATGAATATGTATGGAGGAAAGAAATAGGATTATTAGTATGTGTGTTACAAATACACTGATTGATGAGATTATGATATATATGTTGTAATATTATAACACATATATTGTAATACATCAATTAATGTGTATGTAACATATGTATTAGAACAGTATAAAGTAATGTGCCACAATTAAGATATGGTATGGATAGTTCATGATACACTGTGGGTATAGGGTCTGGAGTTAATTGTGGGAATCTAGAAAAAATGAGAGTGATAAGTGCAGTTCACTGATGTGTACACGATGTAAAAGTGATAAACATTTATAGGCCTTACGCTCATTTCTTGACCGAACTTCTAACTATACCTTTACTTGGAAGGTTGTGAATGCACAAGTTGTATTCGTATGTGGTTTAACTTACCATCAACTATCTATGTTGTGTAAGTCCTTCATAACTAGGGGAAGTACGTTGGCAACGATTTAGGGGCCCAATAATAATTAAAGTAGCATTGAATTGATGGAATATTCGGATTTGGAATGAATAAAGTGGCACGAAGTTATGGATTGAATAATGATAGTTGGCTAAGTGTAAATTGATGTGCTTTCTTGTTTTATTATTGTATGTTTAATTAAGAAGTTAAGTTTGGAGTGAAATCGATGTGAATGGATTAACTATCTTTAAATAACAAAAGAAGTTATATTACATGTGTATATTAGAAGAAGTAGAAATGCATGTATTTTGGATATGAATTGATAAGTATTTTAAAATCAATATGATAAAAGTGAGATGAATTGAAGAATTAAATTAATGTATTAAACAAGGAGAAATAGACACTAAATAATTCAAATGATGAATAAATTTGTTAGAAATGAAATGTTCCTAACTTATTATATATGAATTTTGAAAATACTTTCTGTATTGATTTCATTATTTTATAAATCAAGATTTAGTGGGCAAGGGATGCTCACCCTTACAACTATTTTTCAGGTAAAGAAGGTTGATACGTTCTAAGGTCATACTCGCAAGAAATGGTAGGAAGAGAACTGTTTTACAAAAATTTAGTTTATTTGGAAGGACTGTAATAGTATTATTGATTAAGTCTCTATTTAAAGTCATTTACCCTATGTGATTGAATTGATGAAAGTGTTTAATTTGAAGTTAAAGCACTTTGATAAATTTATTGTGAAGGATGATTAGAAAATATATGTTATGACTAATTATTAATATAACATTTCGGCTTTTAATTAAATCAGTATGCATTGAAGTTTTAAAATCTTACTCTATTTTAGTAATTCAAAACTTACATGCACAAAGATTGATCTTTTACTTATTTTACTCAAATAATTGATGATATTTTATAATTATATAGAAGAAATAATTTAAATAAATATGGAGTGTTACAATAAGTCTGGTTGAGTGCATTAACTCGGTCTTAAAGGGTGCTCACAATCTTTCAATCATGACACTCATTAGAGCAACTTACTTTTATCTAGCTGAGTTATTTGCACATAAATGAAGTGAAGCATATGCACGAAAAGAGGCTAGATATATTTTCTCCAAAATTGTGACAACTAGACTTCAATCAAATAAGCAGATCTGCAAAAACCTTTGTGTTAGTGTATTTTGGTAGACAAAATGAAGCTTTTTATATTCAAGATTTGTCCAACAATCAAGAATATAAAGTTCATCTAAGACAAATATATTGTTACTGTGATGACATATAAACTAATAGATATTCAAATTGTTGTGCTGCTTGTTGTAGTCAGAAAATTGATTGACATAATTATGTCAATGATGTTTATACGATTAATAAATTATACAAAGTTATAAGAAGAAATTTGAAGTGACCACATGGCAGCAATATAAAGGTCCAAAATTTGTCATAACCCAACCTCAAAACACACAATAAAAAGGTCAGCCAAAATCAAGCTATTTTCTTAATGAAATGGGTAGAAAATAGATGAGAACACCATGTCGATCAAGGTGAGAACCATAGTTAAAAGCAATGTCCAAATTCCCCTTACCCTAATTCACAAGATTGAAAAATGATTATGTGTTTATCATAAATAATATGTTGTTCTTGTTTGATCTATGAGTAATTTTAATAAAATGGTGTTCTAAGACAATATTTTGTCTCACTTCATTATTATAGCGTTTACTTCGGTAAATTAAAACTTCTATTACTTTAACAAATTATTTTTGTTTAATAAATATTTTTTGAGAGACATTTGTTTAATTAATTATTCTTTTTATTAAGTAAATAATTAAATTTAGTTTTTTTTAAATAAATAACATGAACTTTAATAATAATTAATAAGCATAAAGATAATAATCAATATGCGTTAAACACAAACATCAATAATAATAACTCATGGACATATGTATTAAAACAAGCACACAATTATAAATATATAATATAATTAAAACTATAACAATAAAACTATCATCTTTTTTCTTCTTGGTCAAAGTATACATATTATAAATAGTTTTTTAATTTTTAATTAAAATAATAGTTATAATTAATATATTTTATTTTATAATGACATATTTTAATTTTTTATATTATAAATTTAGTTTCTTATCTACAAATTTATATTATTAATCAATCTTATTATATACTTTAGACTTAACTATGTTATTAATCTTTAAAATATAAAAGATTTTACCATAAGTTATTATAATTTTTTTTTTAATTTAGTCTCTAAAATATTAAAAATTTAAAATTTAATTTACTAATGTTAACTCCTTTCTATTAGATGCTGAATTAACTACCATAATATAAACTTAATACTTCACGTAACACATCACTATCATTTAATTTTTTAATACTTAAAAATAATATTTACAAATAAACTCTTAAAAATAATATTTACAAATAAATATACAAGCTTGCTTTTATCTGCTGAAACTGATTGCTAGTCAGATTCAACATTGGCAGTTAAATAATTTCCAAAAATCACGAGTGAAACTCAAGTTACATCATTTAGCCTTGAATATATATATAGGACTTTTTTAATTTAAATATTATAAATTTAAAAATAAATTCTTAATTTATTATTTTTTTTAAACTATTTTCTTGACTCAAGTAATAATAGTTTCGTCAAAATAACTAACAAAAATGTTAATTTTTTTAAAATAAATTTTATTATCAAAAGCACGAAATAATCAAATCATGACATGTGTCAACATCAGTGTAATTTTACAATATAATCGAGAAAAAAATTAAGAAACAGTTTTATCATAAACAGTGTGAAACTCTCATACAGTAACACGTGTCATAATCTAAGTAAATTTTGTGATAAAAATTACATAACATGCAAAGATCTAACAATTGACACGAATTTAACCCATTACATTTGGTAAAATTTTTATATTATATATCTTTTCACTCGCCCACACTATATATATCATTTATTTTATATATAATGTGAACAAATGAAAAAATATATAGTGTAAAAGTTTTACCCTATTATTCGCACAATGAGCCAAAATTGTGTCATGTCAAATCTTTGTACATTATACAATTTTTATAACAAAGATTACTACACGTTTCACCATCTGAAAGTGAATTTCATACTATCTATGATAAAATTAATTCTTAATTTTATCAATCATATTATAAAATTACACTGATAAACATGTATCACGATCTAGATTTCGTATTTATGATGACAATTTATTTTTAAAAATAAAAATTTACTATTTTTGTCAACCATTTTGACAAAATTATTGTCCCGTAAACTGATTCACTGAAAATAGTTTTAAAAGATCAAGAAATAAAGAATTTATTTTTTAATTTACAATATTTAAATAAAAAAGCCTAAATTGAATCAGTAATTATTTATGAGAATATGCAATATTTAAGACTTCAACGAACCTAGCCCTTCGCTTTGTTCCTTTTCATGACCCCCACAAAAAAATGAACCTCGCCTGTAAATAATTACACAGTCAATTCCGTAAGTCTACAATCTATATATATACACGCCCCGGGACGGGGGAGAAGAACAAAAATGTTCCAATTAATTTACAAATTAATCCTGAAGAATCTCAGGTCGATTTTCACTCCTGCAACCTGACAAGGGTAACATCACTCCCTTCAACCTGACAGTGAAGTACAAGAAAATTTTTCCAGTCAGCCACGAAATGAGAAAAATTAAATGTAAGTTTTTATTGTCAGATATAAATAAGACGGGACTACTGGAATGAGCAGAAAGTTGAATGGCTGAATGCTACAGCTAATTATCTCTTGTTATGTATGTTAAGAATTCAGAATTATGATACATACTTGTTTAACACTAAGCTGGCAGCTGTCTTGTGTTCAAAAGTTTAAACTAATGGCACAGGTGCATGTGCAGCTAAAACTCAAGCCAAGATCAATCTTTTATAAATTTGAATCCACCAGTCTTGAACCTTTCAAAGTTGAACTAATATATATCAGATCAGTTGCATTCTTACAATATATCAACTCTTTTATGCACATTAAGCAAATTAACTAGGAGAAATTCCCCTAAATGAAAAAAAAAAGCAGGGGGACTTAACTAGATGGAGCAGTAAACAGTTAAGACCATAAAAATATATTCTATAACCAAATTAATATTACCTCCTGGAACCTAACTGTCCAACTTTCGTTAAATTTTCCTTTTTTAAAACTAACATATATTAGTGCTGCAGCGCGTGCCTGTGAATTAGTTTATTTTGGGGCTAAACAACTTTCAATCAAAAGCTATTTAAGAGAGCTTTTGAAAGAAAAACAAAATGAAGTGATTAGTGCTCAAAAAGTGTTTAACAAACACGTAATTATGGGTGAAGGTGGATACTAAGCCCAAATTAATGCGTGACCTCGTGAAATGAAAATTTTAATGAAAGGGGTTGCATACAGAGATGAAAGGAAGTCTACTGCAGATGAAGATCACTTCCTTTTAGCATCTATGAACATGGCCCGAGTCCAGTGCTCAACATCCTCACTTTGTGATGGTGGGGGAGGAAAAGTGGGATGCTCAACAATATCCCACCCTTCAATTAGGCACTCATTTTTTCCATCAGATGAATCAGTCGCATAAAGAAAACTAGCAGCAGAACTCGGCAGATAATTTTCAATTCTCTGCAAAAGAAGAGCATAGTATAAAATTTATTAGTGAATATGTATCTAAACTTCATCTAACCAATAGACAATGATAACAAAAATGAAAATGCTCATTTGGAAAATGATAAATTAATCTACCCAGACACTCAGATCATTGGTATTCAAGTAGAAGCTAGGTATTATAAGTTGTAACTGGTAAATAATAATCTTGCTAAGGCTTAATTGCATTTTTTGGTTCCTCTAGTTTGGATTATGTGTAATTTTGGTCCTCCCAAGTTTTTTCAAGCTAATTAAGTCCCTCTACATGTCAAATTTAGCAAATTTATTCATTCATTGGTTTTCTTCTACCAAAAACTCCTAACTTCCCATTTGCTCCTCAAAATCTTTACAGATTGAATTCATTAAATTGCCTTCTATTTAAAACTAACCAACCAAAATATCAAAATTCACTCAAAATATTAAAACCTTAATTTTTTTCTTTTCAAACTTCAATATCGCATCTTATAAAACCTTACAAATTTTATGAAGTTTTCACTAAATTTCTTCTGAACTTTTAATGTTATTTTATGTTTCAACTACATTACAAACTCTTAAAAATTTAGATATAAAATAAAATTCGAAGGGTTTTGAACTTTTAATATTATTTATGTTTCAGTTCCATTAAAAACTCCTCAAAAATTTAGATAGACAATAAAAATTTAAAGGTGTTAAGTAGAAGAAAATAAAGAGGACTTTATTAGCTCAAAAAGAAACTTGAAGGACAAATTTACACAAGACCAAAAATGCAATTAATACAAAGGTCCTATCTTAGGGACAGTGATTTAACTATTGTACATAAAATCCTGCTCCATATAAACCAAATATAAGTGAATTTAATGAAGGCATACGTATTAGGGGATGACAATTCCATCCATTTATCAATTAATCATCCAAGCATAATTTTTGTAATATTTAGATGGACAATGAACTAATATTTTCTAATTCATTAAGTTAAGTAGTTTAAAGTCTATTAGTTAGACATAGATCTTTAATAACAAGTCATAGACTCTAATGTTGAATGTGTATAAATATTAAATATTGTTTTATAAAAATACTTTTTAAAAAATAAAATATAATATATTTTAAATGGATGGGTTGGATGGGTCTTTATTAAATAGGTTATGGATGGACTGAAACTGTTTTAAGACATTTTTAAGGTATTAAAATGGATTGATGGTTTATTTTTAACCTATCCATTATTATTTGATTCAAAATTTATCCAATCTATCCATTTGACACCTTGACTACATATGTAAGAACTCCTAACACTCCTCTAGGCTGTCTAACAGAAATCTATGGTTTAGCCTTTTTAAAGCCTAATCCAGCTTAACTTATTTAATTAATAGGCTTAATTTATACTTTTTAAAAAGTTTAATTAATTAAATAGATCAAGGTTGAGCTTAAAAAAAAACTTATTAGACTTATTAAAATAACCTATTTAAAACTCAAAATTTATTATAATATATTAAATAATTTTATATAAAAATTATAATATAATAATATATTAAATAATTTAAATTTTAAAATAAATAAAATCTTAAATTAAAAATTTTAATTTTTTTCGTTAAAGTTGAAGAATGTCTTTACTATATAATCTCTAAAAGAGTGCGTCTTGCTTGCTAAAGCCTTTTTGTGTATATCTTATCCGTATAATGCTGATTTACATTTACGTTGTCTCCATTACATCTAACGCTGGTTTATTTCATCTCATCCATCATCTTCTTACGAATTTGTTTATATTATATCATATGTAACTTTGTTTGACTACAGAGTAGGTCATTAAAAAGGCTAATAAGTTAAAACAACCTTTTAAAAAGGCTAGACTAGACTTAATAAAAAGCCTATGACAAATAATAAGTTAGGCTTAAGCTTCAAAATTATCAGGCCTATTTATATAAAGGCTAGCTTAGCCTAGCCTATTTTCATCCCTACTCCTCCCCAAGGATGGCTTGAAAAGGCAAAAACAAGAAAGTTTGCAAAGATTAAAACACAATGATGGTTGAAAATAGCAGACAGATATTAACCAATGTAATTATGTAAGTCCAGGCAGAGAGCAAACTACAGTCTGCTTGATTCTACTATACATAAGCATTTCAATTTTAAAATCAAATACAAGAGAGAGTAACTAGGAAATACACTAGCAGATCTCTAAAAAAGGTTTAAAAGTTAACTTAATATTGAAATGTTATGGCTATGGAAAAAAAATAACAAAAAAATTTACCCAAAAAGTTGTATACTACTTTTTTCAAGCAATTATGAGAAATCCACAAAGATGGACACTTGCTAATTTTAATTGGCAAGTGAAGAATCAAATACACAAAAGCATAAAAAATCAACTAGCACTGCCAGCATTTTATTCCAAATTAGAAGCAACAAGAAAAACTTTACCGTTGTGGGCACAGAATGTGCACTTTCCAGCAAAGTAGTTGATGAAATAGTAGAATTCATATTCCATACAGATTTGTTCAATTGTTGAACTTGCTTACATGTCCTGAATCAAAGGAAAAAGAAGAGAAAAACTCAGGCACAATGCTATCTGCATTCTCTAAACAAGGGGATGTTAGAGCAAACTTTCAAGTGAAAATCATAATGCTCTGCAAACACACCAATTTACTCAAAAGTCAGAAGACTTAAATATTCTATTATCTGGAGCTCTAACACATGCTCCCTTACATGGTAGTAGTTCTTCAGAAGTTTCAAAGATCTGAGTTACATGGTTCTTCTGACAGTCATTTTCAATAGCAAGAGTAAATGTACAGGGGGAAAGAGAAACTAGTTACCAAGTATATTAAAAAACAAAATATAACATAGGAAATAAATGTGACAATACCTAGAGCGGGACATTTTTAAGGAAAAAACAGATCGAACTTCCTTGGATGACGAGAGTGTAGCTAGCAACTTTGCAAATGCCTCAAATGTTGATGCCTCAGAAGGAACATCCAAACACAGGGAGTTGTAACAGTAAGCTGTGATGCATGCTACACTTTTCTTCAAGAGTGAAATTCCTTTCTGCAAATCCTTGTGTGTTTGAACAGAATGTGAAGATGCTAAAGAATAGTTAAAGCTACTACTCCCAGATGAATCTAGGCGAGGCCTCCTCTCCGATTCCATTGAAGCGACTCCAAAATTGCTTGAGCTTCTATCAGACCATGAGTTTTCTCCACCAGTGGAGCAATAATTTTGACGAGGTATGAAAAGGGGATATTCATTACTGAAAATTTAAAATATATATATATATATATATATATATATATATCAGGTTAAAATGAGTTGATACTTTATGATAAACACATACAATTCCAGCCAAAATACCTCCTTGAGGAAGGGCGTGCATCCCAATAAGAATCTCGTTGCCATATTCGAGAGCAAGAACCCTAAAGCAAAAAATATTCATTGGAATTGCAAATTTACAATATTATGTTCCACTATGAAGAGAAAAATGAAATAATGCATCATTAAGCGTATAGCTAGATCAGCCATCAACAATATAAATATCAAATAAAGGAAAGGACAGAATTAGACACTGAGAACAGTAAATCATATTTTGCAAACATCAAAACTCAGTGATATTAGACAATAGGAAAAATCTCAAACCTGATCTTATGTATATTTAATAGAAGAAATGAAAATGTGCTAATCAAAAGGAAATTTCAGAAAAGGAAACCTTTACATGGATAGTACCCTATATATCATTCACTGAAGTTTTCAGCAAGTAATTCAATACATATACACACCAACCTAAGAATGTATCAGCATTCAACTTGTGAATTTTAATGCTATTTTAACATTCAATGTCCATCAAAAGACAACTGTCAAGATAAACCATGATCTTCAAGGAAGCAATAATCTATTGCTTGGGTAATGATACAATGCATACCGCAAAACCCGAGTTATGAAGTGCTGGGGCAGCCAAGTTGTGGACAAGAAGATTTAGAAGTTGCACCATGTATCTGCTTTCCAAATTGCAAACATGAAAATAACTGGTTACTTATACCAAGAATATTCAAGAAAATTCTAATTTAGGTAACATTAAGGATTCTTGACCACTGGATGAAAAAAAAGATATGATATATGTACTCATTAATATCAGCATGAACATATATTACAATTTTAATAATAAAACAAAATCTTGTCTATAACACTACAGTGATTCACTTGTAAAAATGCACTCTGTATTCACATAAGAACTTAGATAAAAGGGAAAAATGCCTACCCCAAAGAAGCAGAAAGCTCTTCTGATGGAACAGAGTGGGGATCAAGTGCTCTGGGTAATAGTGCATTGCAAATTTGATCGTATTTACCATTATAACCATCTCTTCTCTCTCCCTCTATGACCACCTGCAGCAGAAAGACAGCAGCACTATAAGCATGTTTGAAAGGGACATAATAACAGAGCAGTATAGTAGCACTATATTTGACTTCACTCTTGAGGCTTTATATAAATTGCTTGTGAAACAAAACATTACTTTGGACCAAAAAATTACCAATAAAGGAAACAGTTGCTTCTCTTTCATATTTTACCTAAAGGGAACCTTATGTTTCTTAAATTGAAGCACATCAAACAAAACTTTTACATCAATATTTTCCATATTCAAAACACTAATCTTAACAATTTATGTATTCCAGTGCAACAATAATATATCACGTCTTGAATTTCAGTAGGACCTAACTCAACCCTAAAAGCTAGTATGTGAGCTGAATATTGCTTAAGCTTTTATAAGCTCTAATTTATTCATATTTGTAGTCAATATGAGATCTCAACACACACATCTGAGGCTCAGGATTGGACAAGTCAGCAAAGAGATTGTAGGACTTATTTTTTGTTTTTATATTTATTACACTAGAAAAGTCACAAGACCACGTAGAATGCCCAGGGAAAGCCACATCACTTTGGGTTAATTTTTGGATAAATGAATATGGCCCAATATCAAATCTACAATAAGCTACAATATCATCTTTGAATTTGGGTTGAGGCTAACTCAACCCCAAAATTTAACTGGTGAGGTGAGGATTGTCAAAAGACTATATAACTTTAAACTTGGCCATATATGTAGTTGATCGAAAATTTCTACAATACACTTGAGCAAATACATTTTAAAAAAAAAATTTCAAAAAGTCAAACAATTTGTAGTTTATTCAATCACTTCTCTTGGGATATCTTTAAATAACAATTTTGGTCTTGCAATGTGCAAAGAAAAGGAATTCTGCAGTCATAATGAAGATCCTAGAAAGGGTGATGAAACTGATGATGCATAAAACATGTGCTCATAACATGGATCATAAGGTCCTGCCTATAATACAAACTTATATTCTAACATATATATATGCATATAAATGACATAGAAAATAAAAATAACCTTTAAATCACTCCTATAAGCACTAAAGTGACGTTATGGTATATGTATATGAAATGTTTGAAAAACAAAATAGTGAGCTGCCACAGCAGTCATCTATTAAAATGCAAGTCATAAATCAATTCTTACCCTGGAAAGGCTAAGTTGAGTGTTTTAAACAAAAAATCACAGGTAGAACAAGAGAACAGAAATCATAAGCATTCTAATGTTCATTTCAGATACCAGAAATGCTTTACTGTACTCATTATTGGGACATAAAGGGCTAGCAAGAGAACATTATAAGGGATGCAAAATAGAGAATATTGCATTGGATATGATAGAGAAAATGTTGGAGTGACATCCATTGAGGAAAATGGTTAAATTGCACTTAAGATGGTCAGGTAGTAGTTGATTAGAAAGGAAGAGAAAGACACTCCAATGTCAATGATGAGAAGTTATATAAACCAATAGAAGCTCTGCTTAGAAGATTTGACAAGACAGAGGATAGCCAAGTCAATAATAATAGAGGTGGACCAAGAAAATCCTTAAATGGGTTCATTTAACAGAATCCAGAATTAAAATGACCACTTTAAAGAATTGGTTTGATTCATGTAGGCAATCCCACCTAGAGGTAAAGGTTTTGGTATTGGTTGTTCTCCTTCAGCAAAAATAAAGCATTGAAATTGAAAAAGTACAACAATACGTGCAAAGTGAAAGACAAGAAAACTAGAAGCTCATGATTACTGTAAAGATCTCAAGTCCCATTACATTCTATCCCTAGAGCAGCAGTAAGCATAATATCCTCAGAATCTCATGGAAATTAAACTGCATAAATCACATATTCATTGAGATAAACCAACCAAACACCAATTGTCATAGGTTTATTTTACCCGGCGTTGTGGGAATAACTTGCATATCTGTTTTATGACCACTGACTGTTTGTGAAGACGCTCAGACGTAATCGCCACCTGAAAAATAAAAGTATAAGCATAAATTTTGAAGCTCATAGAAAAACAAAGGAAACAAATATGATTTTAGAAAGAAAGCATCTAAGGAACATAAATCTTCAACCTTGATGTGTGATTAAACATTAAGAAAATGCAGATTAGTTTTAAATACTCAATTTTACTTCATACTGGTTTATGTGGAAAAGTCAGTATTAGAATATAATATACAAAACAATACACAATTATTGGAACTGAAATAAACAAACAGTGCTCACATGCCCTAAGCTCTGGGTGCATATAAGATTAGGGTAGAACTTCTCCAGTTGTTCCACTCGATTCTTTTCCAACTGCCAAGAGTAAAATAAATTATCCAGCATCTTCATATACATTCACATTAAACATGACCAGTAATAGCCATGATCATAGAAATAGAAGTAGCGAAGTTCTGTCAAAAAGACAGTAACCAAATACCGTAGAAAAGGCAGATTCAAGCAAGCCATATCGATGTTTCAGATCAGCAGACATAGTCTCTATCTTAGCTCTTCCTGCAAGGTTACCTATTACTTTTGGTTCAAGAGTGAAGTATGCATCTTTAGAAATTTATGTTGGCATATAAAGGTTTCTAACCTTGAGTAACTTGCTCTTTACTGTGACAAAGCTTCTCCCTTAACTTTGCAAGCTTTTCATGTTGAAGCACTCTCCAATTTGTTTGATCGTCTCCCTTTCCCTTCTTAACATTATGCATAAAAGTATTACTTGAACTGAATAATGATGTCACAAAGTGACTTGCAAAAGTATAAAGTCATAGCACGCTAGCACTGAATGGAATATTCCAAAACTAAATACAGTCAACCATGTCCAAAGCAGTATGAGAATTGCCATTGAGAATCATAGGGAAAGAAAAAGGTTAACCCAAGCATGCAAAACAAAAGGCACAACCAACAGGAAATTTCCATAGGCATGTTATCTAACCCCCTTGAGAGTAGCTTTATCGGTTGGGAAACAGTAATGAGTATTAGTTTTGATCTAGAATCCAATGCACTTCTCTATGGTTTTCATAATACAGGTATACATTGGGTAAACACTAGACATTCTAGGGAAATTTTGTAGAACTTTGCCACCATTGAATTATAGGTATCTTTTTTACTTTCTTCATGTATTATATGTACTTTTTTTTAATTCTGAAGTTAGAATGATGTGGGAAATGATATTTATCTTTGGTTTGGTTTAATTTCTATACTGCTTTTTATGTTACAATTCACATATACTAGTATCCTAAGCAGTAGAAACTTTGTTGTACTTCATGCATTTACCAAGTAAGGTAAGCCTACCTCATTTTTTGTTCCTAGTTAAAACTTAAATTAAAATTGAAGATGGTAAAATTCATTTTCAAAACTAAATTAACTTAGGATCGCCTATTTTTGAGTATTGCAAGTCAAGCCATTATACAAACCTTGAGAACAAGAACTTCGCTCAATTTTGAGTACAACAAATCTCGACGGTCTTTAAGTGTTTTTAAGGACGTATTATACTCATTCAACCTGCCAAGACAAAAACATCACCAAAATTAATAAACAAATCAATCCAGCAAGCATAAGAAAAGCATCAACCGAAAACTTGTGCTGAATAAAAAACAATAAATTATGAAGGTAGCACGTTGAGCTTGATTAACGAAGTTCCAAAACCTAAAGTGGATATTAATCAACTAATTAATTAAAGCAAATACCTGTAGTTTACACAGACCGAGCATATCGAAGCTTGATTTGAATTCTCGCATATAGCACAGTTACTGGTTCTTCTAGCCATCTCCAGCTTATCGCAAAGGAACAACGTTTCCTATCGTATCGCGGGATAGTGCGTGTGTCGATATATATATCTCTTGAGGTCGCGAGTTATGAAACGAAACTGGGGAGGAATAGCGATTTTGTGTTGAACAGAGTCAACTATGGGTTTCAGAAACGCATTGACAATGAATAAACGTGGTGAGTTAGAAGATACGAAGGTCAAGTGAAACTTTGAAAATCGAAAACCCTAGTAACACGACGGAGGAGAAAGATTACAGCGGAAGCAAGGGGAGGCACCCGCACGCATCTCCGTTTTCCGTTCTAAATATCATCATCTCATTTGTTAGTTTTTTTAATTAATTAACGTTCAATTTTTAAAAAAAATAATGATAGTCTCTTTTAGGATAAAAATAGAATTGTTGTAAGGATAAACTATATATTTATTTCCTGTACAAATTTATTTTTATAATTAATTTTTATAGATAAAAAACCAGTATATTAATTTATATATAAAAATTTATTTTTAATTTTATCTATGTCAAGATATGTTATATTAACGTTGATTTTATCTTTTATTAAAAAAATTATTTTATGTAGCAAATTTAAATTGTCTTCTACTCTTTATATAATTTTTTTAAAATTTAATATTTATAGAATAAAAATTTATATATCAATTTTTATATAAAATTTATTTATAATTTAATTCTTAAAAATAATTTTAATTTTTTTATAAATATACTGAAAATAAAAAAAAAGTTATTAATTTTGGATTCAGTTTAAAAGAACAAGACCAAAATTTAAGATAATAAAATAAGATGATAAAAAAAATGAGAATTATAATAAAAATATAATAGAGTAAAAAAATAGTAATATTTAAAATAAAAATGTTAGAAATGATATTCATATAAAGATAAATTAAAATATTAAATTTTCTTAAAATAGTTTCTAACAGCTTTATAGCGAAAATATATTCATTTGAATAATGAAACTAGATGTCATAGATTGAAAAGATATGAAACAAATTATGAGGTTTCTTTGATAATTTTAAAATAATTATCTGTATGAAAAATGTTATTTGATATTAATAAGAAAATGTCACATTAATAATAAGGATGAAATTATAAATAAATTTTTACCTATGATAACTAAATTATAAAAAAGCATCGTGTATAAATATTGAAAAAGAATTTAAATCTTAGATAATTATTCATCAAGCAAGAAAAAAAAACTAATGTTGATATAATACAATATAATGACAAATAAAATTGAAAATAAATTTCATATTAATATACTAATTCTCTATGTATAAGAATTAAATTACAAAAATAAATTTTCTACAGGTCTAAAAGTTCATTTAAATTTTATTTTAATCATTTTGAGAAATTTAAAAAATCTATCATATATTTTATGCACATTTTTTAATTTTAGTAATTTTAAAAATAAAAATTAAATGAAAAAACTATAAAAATATGTTTAAAATTATAAAAGAAATTTATATGAATAATTTAGACAAAATTTTAAATATAAATAAAATTCTTTGAAATTTATAGAAGGAATATGCACGATTATTAAAAATAATAAATTTTTATTTTTATTTTTTAAAAGTTAAGATTAAGGGATTAAATTATGCTTAAAGTAATTTAATCATAAATTTATAAACGAATAATTTGAGGTGTAGTTGTCAACCAATTTTGTTTTCACAAATGATATATTTTTAAGATTATATGCTTATAAAAGCTTAATTTATTTAAAATTTAAGATGTTTAATTATAAATATAATATTACATAATTTAATAATAGTTTAATTAATAGAATTTGATGTTCATAATAAAAAAAAATATATTAATTCAATTTATTAAGCAAAGTAAATAATTAAGACTATTATATATATATATATATTAATTCAATTTAATTATAAAATTTACTAAATTAGTTTTAAAAACTGTGAAATTATTTAAATTAATTTTTATATAATAAATATTATATTGTTCCAAAAATATTTCTACCGTTTTAGTAGATCTATAGTTTACCACTTTTTAATCTGACATCTGGTTTTCTAAAATGTATACAATATAAAATATAATCTATATATTAGATTCTATCTTGATTTGATTTATTCTCAAACCAAAGTGTAATTGTGTTTTTCATTGATAAAATAATTTCCAACTTCTTTAAAACGCAAGCACTAATTTAATTTAGAAAATTTAATTCTTATAATTGACCTAATTTAATTAGTGTTATGTCTTTAATTAATTTATTGGACTAATTAATAAAAAATAAAAAATTATTATTTTTAAATTAAATTTAATTCTACTTTTTGTTGTCATACTTTAATTTATATTTTATTTTTATTTTTTATTATTTAATTTGATTTTTGTAATTGTTAAAATTGATTTTCGTATTTTATATTTTATCTAATAATTAATAAAAATATAATGAAGGTAAATTGATCTTTCTAACTTAGCAAAGAAAAACAATTGTTTTAAATAAAATCGATGCGCATAATTAACAATATGAAGCCAATGTTTCAATTTATTATTTTTTTCATTTTCAAAGTATACAAATTAATGTTATATCTTCCTTTTAGTATTTTTTTTATTAATTATTATATGCAAGATGTAGTTATTGAATTAATTTTATTTATTCAAAAATTATGAAGTTCAAATGCATAAATTAAAATTTAAAAAGCACAAATAGCAAATAACTTAAAGTAAAAAGATTAAGGTTTTGTTTGGATAAATTTCTAGAGAAGTTAGAGAAATTTTTGCATAAAAAATTAATATAAAAAATGAATAAAATTTCTCTATAAGATAGAAATAATTTATATTTTTCTATTGTTTGAAAAGTTCTAATAAATTCTTTATTTTAACTTCTTTAAACTTTGAAGAGATAAATTATTTTAAAATTATAAAAAATTATTTATATTTATACTAATTTTTTCTTTTATAAAAATTTATCTAAAAGTTCATCTGAATGGGGCATAAAAAAGAAATTGAAATTTAATATTTTATTACAAGAAAACATTATTCTAAAAGAAACTAACAAGCATAAAAAGTATTCATGTATAAGTTTAACAAAGCAAAATAAGTCTATTAAAAGATAGTCTGAAGCCTAAATAAAATGTTAGATGAAATTGTATTTGGTGCAAATTTGAGTTTTACCCCAAAAGCTTTCTCTTCTCTCCCGTATCTCTTGTTTGTTTGAATCATCATCTCCTCTCTTTCTAACTTTCGACGTTCTACTCAAACCTCCAACCTAAACCTAACCCTCATTCGTCTAATTTCTGTGTTAACCCTCATTGGATCTGTAAGTTCACCTTTTTTTTTCTTTTATTTTGTTTTCTCATACAATTGAAATATGCATTTTATAGGATATGAATATACTCAATTTTGATTTCCACAGTATCATGATTTTCTTTTCCTTGTATAATAAAATACATAGGCAACTTTAAACAAAGGGGATAAAGAGTTTAGAATTTAAAGCCAATTTTTGGAAGCCCAAATGTTGTCGTGATAATTAATTGATTTTATTTTTCATATTCTTGTAATAACTTTCACGGTTCACTTACTAATACTTAAAACTTCAATGGTTGTTAATTTCATGTAACATTAGTGCTAGAAAATCTGTAAGCCCAAATGCTCTCATCATTGATGTTAATTAATTAGGAGAGATAACAATGTCATTAATTTATTGGTTGAATTTTTTTTGCAGTACCTAGATTATAGTAAGTGAAAAAATGTGGATGCACGAGCTATAGGCTGCATTTGCCATGGAAGAGGACAAGTTGGTGGGGACCAATGAGGCAAATCCCCGAGCGATTGTGAAGTTAGAAAAATATGCTTTTGTTATTCAAAATGAAAATAGGAAAAATGAATTGAAGGGCATAGAAACTCAAAATAATGGTAATGATTGCCCCGAGTTTGAAAATGAACAGTATGATATATCAGACAAGGTAAGTGATCAAGTTGCTGAAAAGTTGGAAGGAGATACTTTTAGTAGTCAAAATAACGATAAGGAATTGAAAAAGGCAAAAAATCAAAATTTTGGTCATGATTTCCAAGAGCTTGACAGCAAGCAAGATGATATATTAGACAAGATAAACAAGGTTATAGACATAAAGCTGAGTATTCATGAGGAAATAAAAAATAATGTGATGGAAGAATCTGAGTTGGCTCAGAGGGTAGCTAGTAGTTATGATTTACAAAATGGATGTCAACAAGAAAACTTAGAAGAAAATGTTAAAGTTCAAGGTGACTTGTTTCAAAAGGTGCAGGAGAGTGATTACATAAAATCTGAAAATCAAATTAATATTATTGGACAAGAGTATGTAGATGTTATGGTAGAGAACAATGGAAATTTTGAGCCTAAAAGTTCAGAAGTAAATCTAGATAATAATTTTGGACACAATGACTTGGCTAAAGAGAAGGATGACAGCGGAAGCATGGAATCAACACAAATAGATCAGAAGAGAAACAACATTTCAAACGAGGACAATAATTTGCAGCTTGTATTTGATGAAATTGAGGTTCCTGGGGTTGAAGTTAGCAGTCACAAATCTACCCATACTTTGGATGCAAATCTAGAGACTTCCTCTGTTGTTGAGAAGACAATATCTCTAAAAAACTTTGTTAGGGACAAAAGTATAGTAGTAATTTCCACTATGTTGCGTCGTCTTTCTAGAAAAAGAGATGAAAATGTTGTGGGTAATTTTGATGAAGTGGGTCAAGATGTTTCAAATTCATCAAGAGATAATGAAACTAAAGAGGCTTCTGAGAAGGTAATGGAGAAAATAACTTGGAACCCTTTGAATAATATTAAAACGTCACCTAATGTTGACGCAGAAAATAAAATTGAGCAAAAAGTGGAATCCATAACTGAGGGTCCACCAATGCCCATACCCATGAAAGGAAGGATTATTGTGTACACAAGACTAGGGTGTCAAGAATATAAAGAAGTTAGAAAATTTTTGTATATGAGAAGACTTAGATATGTTGAAATCAACATTGATGTGTACCCCAGTAGAAAGATAGAGCTAGAGAAGAATTCTAGATCTACTTCTGTTCCTAAGATATATTTTAATGAAATACTTATCGGAGGCTTGAGAGAACTAAAGAGTTCAAATGAGTCTGGCAAGCTTGAGGAGAAGATTGAGTACATTATTAATGAAGCATCGCCATTTGAAGGTCCATTGCCACCACTTTCTGGAGAGGATGATATGTCCAGTTGTGGAGCACTTGATGAAATGGCTATAATTGTTCGCAAAATGAAAGAATACATTGTTGTGAAGGATCGATTCTACAAAATGCGAAGGTTTGCTCGTTGCTTTCTTGGCTTTGAAGCTGTGGACTTCTTGTCCGAAGATCAATATTTGGAAAGAAGAGAGGTAAGTTTGATCTGAAGTTCCAAGCATGTTCTAGTGTGTTTGTTATTTAACAACCTATGTCTATACTTTTAGGTGTAATCATATATTTCATAGATAGAATGATAGTCCAAAATAAGAATAATTATAAAATTACACTTTAGAAAGATGTTTCTTTTATGTGATGTCTCATAATTTAAAGCTTCATTATATTACGTTAAACGTAATGAAAATTTTAGAATAAGAATTTAATTATTTTTTATTACTTTTTAATGAAAAAAAGCTACAAAAACCTTTTAACTTAATTCATTAGTTCAACTTGTTCGATCGTTGTGAAACTGTAGCTCTTATTATTATGTCTTTATTAACATACCATTAAGTATTTGGTAACTCTTGACTTTATATAAAATATTATTTATTATCTAATCATTGCTTTCAGTTTGGGTTGATTTTCTATCTCTTCATCATTTTTTCCCATTCATTTACCTATTATGGCTTTTGTTATTTTTCTGAACATAAGATAAAGGTGTATCTACCTAAATCTGGGTTTTCTTTCTATCTAAAAGTTGTAAAATATTTGATAGTGTAGCATTACTTGATTGGATTTTTATTGTCTTTGCTTTCTTTGTAGAAACTACCTTATTGCATGTTTATTTTGTTTTAATAAATAGTTTATTCTTTGTAGTTATTTTGTCTTTTAAATTGTAGTGATAGCTTTTAATATCAAATTCAACTTCTATATCTTTTTGGCATTTATTCCAACCATATTTGTAGTTTGAGTTCCCTGACAACTCATCTTTATTTCAAAATGAAGATAAGTCATTTAAAACTTTATTTTCTTGAACTTTGTTCATATTTTATGGTGAAATACTTTAACTTGTGATCATTCATTGCTATGACTAGAAGAGAAAATCATTTTTTAAAGTATATCAAGGTGATACTACTTTGTTATGAAAATTAATTAATGCACTTAATCTCTGTATACACATATTCAGTGTATGTCAATATAGAGTTGTATGTATGTGTTTATTTATATTTATTTTTTTATAAAAATTAAACAAACATTTGTGTAGTTAATGTATTCACAATTCTAATACATTATCTTCTAATTTAGAGTTAGAGTTGCAAATGCATTATAATTTAGGTCAATCCTATTAACGGATTCACTTTTTAATATTTGTGTCATGTATCTTGTTAAAAAAAAACTTTTTTGGCAAACCTATTTATTCTTTAAAATTTGATCTTCCAACATTTATAATCACATGGACACATCATTTCTTATTTATCCTAATCATTCAATATAATTTATAGCTTTATAATGTCTTTCTATCTTGCTATTTTTTTTTATGGTATAGGCTATTGAGTTTGCACGAAAGCTTGCTAGCAAACTTTTCTTTCAACATGTTCTTAAGTGAGTTCAACTACTTTAATAGGTGCTTTCACTTTGTGTTTAATTTTTCTATTTAATTTTATAAGATTGTGACCTATTTTCAATGGTATTATTTTACTTTAGTGAAAATCTATTTGAGGATGGAAATCACCTATATCGATTTTTGGATGATGATCCAATTGTTGCAACTGAGTGTCATAATATTCCAAGGGGGATAACTACTATAAAACCTAAGTCTATGGTAGAAGTTGCATCTAGGCTAAGGCTTTTGTCCTATGCAATGTTTGAAGCGTATGCCTCTGAAGATGGATGTCATGTTGATTATAGAAGCATGCATGGAAGTGAGGAGTTTGCCAGGTTTTTTTGTCATTATTTTTTTCCTTACTTTTAAAGTAAAAAAATTAAGAATGTAACAATGAATTTCATTTATTTATTCATAAAATTTTCAACTATTTTTCATGCAACTATTGTTTTAGGTATCTAAGAACAGTAGAAGAGCTTCAAAGAGGGGAAATATGGAATTTGTCAAGAGAAGAGAAACTTTCTTTCTTTATTAATTTGTATAATATGATGACCATCCACGCAATTTTAGTATGGGGTCATCCAACTGGAGCATTAGAAAGAAGAAAATTGTATGGAGACTTCAAATATGTTATTGGTGGATCCACCTACTCACTTTTGGCTATCCAGAATGGCATTTTGAGAGGAAATCAACGACCACCATATACCTTTATGAAATTGTTTGGTGTAAATGATAAACGTTTAAAGGTATGATATTCATGCATGTTTGTTATTCAATCAACATTAAAAAAAAAGTATTTAATTTACAATCAAGATATGCTTCCACCTGAGCCATCAAATTTGCTTCATATTGACACAAGACCTTTGTGTAAGCCATAAAATTAGTGTTTATACAGAAAACATAATAAAATGTTTAAAACATTCATGGAAATTAATTGTCATTGATTTTATGTAAAACCACAAAAATGTCATTAAAAATTTTAAGTAGAAAACAAATCTCTAATAAGTTTACAAGTGACATTTTGATAGGCAAGTAATTACAAATCTAAATATGAAAGGCTCTTCAAAGTTTATGTCTTTGATGTTTTTAGATGTGGATGTTTTATTTTATTCTAACAATTTCTTTGGTAACAAAGATATTTTTCTAATTGATACATGATTGGATTTACTAACTTAATCATGTAGAAGTTCTATTTTATTTTGAGAAGTTCTTTTTCCTTACATTATATTATTATGTAAATATTATGTGGTTATTTTAACAAAGATTACACTTAAGATTATATGTGGCATGGAATACTAAGCTAGTTTGAATTACACCATAATAACTCTAGTAGAAATTGACACTTCCATTGAATTTCAAAGGAGAAAAAAAATAAAATTAGAAAGACAGATATAGGATGAAGTTTCTTAAGCAATGGTTGTATACTACTTAAGTGACAAATAGTATGTGTGTGTATGTTTAAAAACACTTTTTATTCTTATATTTAAAAAGATTTATAGATTCATTCCTACACGAAAAAAAAAACATTTTCATTTTGGTCTTTCTTGTGAAGGGGCATTATAACAATTAATAAAAGTCCTAATTGTCCAATGGAATTTGAATGAAACACCATGGTCCCTATTCTCTTGAGATGCCATCATCAACACTTGTCATTAGACCACTATCTATGCATGTATATTGATAGGAGTTTAGTTTAAGTTCCTACCAATTGAACAACAAAAGTTGATTACAAAGAGAGAAGAAATAGATTTGAGAGAAAATTCTTTTCATAATTTTTCATAACCGAAAAGACTACATAAAAGCATACAAAGGATAAATAGGCCAAAGCAGTTAGGCTTTACAATCTAAAAATAAAGGATACAAATTATAACATTAAATATCCTAACTGACAAAAATGAAATTTATTTAGGAATGTAATCCTTCATCCATGTTGGCTTAGTGTAGCTCGTTTGGGCCTATCAATACTTTGGCCTTTAAAAACAACCTTGTCCCCAATGTTAAAAATTGAAGTGTTAGTGGAACTAAAGAGTGGTGGGAAACATCAACTGAGGTCCATGAGGTTTATAAAGCACGTGAAGGGTCTTGGGAAGAGGGATCAGTGCCTTAGGACTCATAAAGAAAAAGGGAGTCATAAGGTTTGTGCGTGGGATATGTTGGGGAACGTGAGAAATAAAGGGAATGAGGTGAGCAAAGTTCACCGGAGGAGCTTCATCCTTAAGTAAAAACATCACAGGCAAGGGAGTGAAATACTCTAGAGGGTCACTATGATAAAGTCATAACAGTGAGACGTGGAAGATACTATGAATTTGAGACAATGAAAGTAACTCCAAATTATAGACAATTGTGTCCATACGACAACAAATATAGAATGACCCATAGAAACATTTAGCAAGCTTTGGCGAGGGACGACGAGCCACAGACTATTAGAGGCACAAGAAAACTTAGTCGTTAGGTTGAACAGTAAGATTTGTTCAATGTTTATTCGTCTAAGTACTCAAGTGTTGATTGGCTTGGGTGAGATTGTGCTTTAATTTGAGTAAAAGCTTCTAACTTTGTTGTAGGGAGGATTCCAAAGAAACCAGATTGGTGCTACCCAGAATGAAATTGGGAATGGCAGGGGAGGATGGCCATACAAGGCATGGTAGGGAAAACATGCCAATGGAGGAATGAATCATGGTATAAAATGTAAAAAAAAGGATTTGAAGGGTATCTAATATAAGGCTGAAGGAAGGAGGGAGATGAAGTTCAACATCACAGAGAGCACGTGGTAAAAAAAATAGGCATTGGGTAGTAGGCCAAATTATACAAATCATGACTAATAAGTTGGAATTTCATTTGACACATAGAACTATGATTGACGATGTCATAACATCTCTTTGTGCACAGACCAAAACATAAGCAATTTTCTATATAGGAATAAATCTATAAACTCTTTGCATATAAGGGACAAATGAAAAATTGATGTCATTTTTAGGGTCCAAAAATATATTCGAATCATGTATTTGTCTCAATAGACTAAGCCAGGATTGTTTCCTAAACAAAGTAATTGGGAGCTACTTGAACAAATTTTTTTATAAAATTAACAACATTGCTCGTGTATTTTATGAACTTATTTAACGCATGTAACAACGTTAAGTCAGTATATCACCAATTTTAGTTAGATCATTTATTTATAGGTCTACCAAAGAGATATGCCAAGCTTTATCTTTTGGTGTTTACCTAAATGCTTTCGTCGTGAAATTGCCTTGTTAGCAAGTTATTGAGTCAATACTTACTTTTCACTCCATTTTTGTTAGGTGGCCCTCCCTTTTCCTGAGCCTCTTATTCATTTTGCTTTAGTATACGGTTCTAGATCTGGACCAGCACTTCGGTGCTATTCACCTGGGGACATTGACAAAGAATTAGTGGATGCAGCCCGTGATTTCTTAAGAAATGGAGGCCTTTTAATAGATTTTACTGCAAAGGTTGCATATGCCAGTAAGATCCTTAAATGGTAGGTTCTTCAAGGGACTTTAAGTATGATTCATGTGTTTTGGTAAATTTAGAGTAAGAAATTGTTGAATATTTCATGTTCATAAGCACATTGTCTCACACTGAGAAGGTAAACTTTCTCAAATTTTTGAGTTAGCTAAATGGTTTGAAGTAGTTAAGATTTTACATTTTAGACTAGTGAGCAATGTCCTTTAAGTAAAATTAATCTACAACTATAAAGTATCATTTATATATGTGAATACATAAAATATTTGATGAGAAATTGTTTTTAAATTTAGCCTAATATATGTAAAACTTGAATATATGATCATGGATTCATTATTGTGATTATGTATGATCATTTAGTGAAGGAAAAATTACACTTTATACCGCTTCAAGTTTAATGAAAATTCACCTGATGTCTATTTTTATTCTATTCAAATCTCTCTTAATTTATATAATAATATCACATTTTAAACCTTTTTCAATTAAGCGAGCTTCCCTTGATTTCTTATGCAGTTTATGAATTAAGAGATGCCAATATTAATGTCAAAAAGACAAAAATATTGGATGAAATTTTGTTAGAGGTCTAGATATAATTTTCTCTCAAATAAAATAGTCAATAATTAAGACATGAGTAGATGAAAATCAATTATGTTGAAGATTCTGACATTTCTCCTTATTGATACATAGGTTTAGTGTAGATTTTGGCAAGAATGAGATAGAGGTTTTGAAGCATGTGTCAAACTACTTACATCCAGCTGACTCAGAATTATTATTGGACCTTCTTGCAACTTCTGAGTTGAAGGTGATATATCAAACTTATGATTGGGGTTTGAATTGCTAATGTGGCCTATTAAATTTTGGTCAATATAACGCTTGTATTCCTACTAACTAGTTTTTATTACACAAAGTAGCGCTAACATAACCATTCCATATGTTAGCTTGTGTAATCATTTTGTACTATAATCTATTTTTTAACTGTAAAGGTAGCGAGAAGACAAAGATAGAAAAAGGACAAAAACTAAGAGATATAAAAAGTGATGTAATAGGAAAAAAACAAATAAAAATATTGATTTGTAAGGTACACAATGTAGGCTAATAGGTAGTTTTTTTTTTTTTTTTGCCTTAACATGCTCTCTCTTCTTTCTATCTATTTTCTTTCTATCTATTGTCTACCATAACTTCTAGGTGCTATTTATTATGGAATGCAACATATAATGAACTACCGAATATATTCTACAATCCACATTTAAGCAGGACAACGAGCAATGCTAACTCTTGGACTAGTTAGTGTATAAATATTTCGATATTTTCAAGTGTTTGGTGGTATTAACCTTGCTTAATTCAAACAGATCTCCCCAATGTATGCACTTAAAAGTGAGCATTTTTATGATTAGCGCATTACCATAATAGAATATTCATTAACGTGTAACTGAATTGGTGTCATGTAGGAGAAATATTAGTAAATATATCGTATAAATATTATATAAATTGATTCAAAAGGGGCAGTAACTCATATTTTGTATTTAAATAACAAACACTATTTGATGACTATTTTAATAGTAAGCAATTTAAAAAATTTGAAAATACATATTTAATAGGTAACATTATATCACTCGGTTTTCTTGAATAAATGGACAAATAGTGTTAATAAGAAAATGACCTTAAATGTATTATTATGATATAATCAAAACATGTTATTAATATCTTTTTATGTGAATTGTTAACCTATGTCTAATATGAAGATTTACCAATAAAATTAAAATATTAAATTATTTTAATTAAAAATTTTTATGTACCTATTTACATGTATGTCTATCTATTATTAAATTGAAATCTTACAAAATCTTTATTTATAATTAATTATATTTTAATTAAGTTATAAGAGAGACAACCTTTGATCTGTTCCTTAAAAGTTATAAGTGACATGTTAGTCCTTAAAATTTTAGACTATCAAATTTATCTAAAAAAAATTACGAGGGATTTGATTGTACTTGTAATTTTTAGCTCTTAAAAGTTATATTCTTAAAAAATTAGGAAATTATTTTTCTAGGACTTAGGAAAGTAAATGGAGAAAAAAAATAGAGCAATAAATAAAAGTACATCAATGATAAAAAATAAAAAAAAGTTAAAAAAAGAAAACGTCAAACTGAAAAGAGGCATTATTTTTAAAACAATTTTCAGATACTACATTTACCAAACTGTTTTAAAAATAGGAAATAAAGAAGCCCTAAATTGTCATCAAATTAATTATCTAGAGATTTATCACAAAATTATTCATTCAAAAATTCATTTTTTTTACAAAATTAGTCCATGAAATATCAAATATATCACAACATAATTATTTAAAAATTTAATTCTATCATTGAGTTAGTCATTTAAATATTTCTTTTTATCGTCACTTTAGTCTTTTTAAAATATATATTAATCTGGTGACAAAATATTAGAGAACTAATATAGTAACGGTTTAATTTGTGAGATTGAATTGGTGACTCAAATTTGTGAAGGACTAACGTGATGAAACTTGTAATTTTAGAAAAAAATCAATTATTATTTATTCTTGCAAAACTTTTATACTGGAATTTTTTTTAAGTAATATACATAAATAATAAATTAGGATAAAATTTACTCCAATATTTAGATATTAATATTTTTGTGTAACTTTTTGTCCTTATATGATATACATATTTATCTATACTATTTAAATATTATAAGATTTGAAGTGAAAATTTCATCAATATCATATTTTATTAACTAAGTTGTTTGACCTTGAAAGAAAATTACTTACGGTAAAATTTTTATCAAAAGAAAAAAAAATCAATAACGTTTTCTTATTTTATTATTATTTTATTAAAAAAAAAAGTACTTACCGTGCTTAAGAAAAAATCTCTATCAACGTAACATCTGATTATATAACATTCCTAAATGTAGTTAAGACTTAAATTATAATTAAACTTTATAAAAGTAAATCACAATGAATTATGAAAAAATAATAAAAATAAAAAATCTCATGAAATGGAGGCTTACATGAGATATGACCTTAGTTTTGAACCACAAAATGTATATAAATATAAATTGAGGAAGAAGTTAAATCTAGGATAAAAAAACATAGAATATACTCATTTATTGTAACCTTTGATAAGTATTTTATTAGAAAAAGAAAACTAACTAAACTTCTGCATAAATTATTCTAAATAAAGTTAAATAATTTAAAAAATAAAATAAATATAATTTAAGGAAAATCCATATCTAATTTTAAGAAATTAGTCAAAATAAAGTGTGACAGGTTACTAATTTTCTTACACTCTCTTTGAGTATTAATCTTTATATTCTTTTGTTAGTACAAACTTTTATTTTATGTTAAACTTAAATATTTATGTAATTTAATAATTTTTTATAAGATGTAAGATTGACTAAACTAACAATTTATTTAAATTTTTTTATCAAATAGATCAATTTTACAAAATTTTATATTAAAATAAAGTTAATAGTTATTTTATCATATAACTTTAATTTAATAAATATTATACTTTTAAAATGAGTTAGGATACATTGAAATTAGTTGTTAAACATGGATAATTACACTACTCAATAACTTTCTATGGAATGGAAGATTGACCAATCTAATGGTTAAATCATTTTATATTATCTTTATGATCATGTAAATTATATTTAATATAATTTTAAAATTTGTAGTATACTATCTAAAATTTAATATTTAAATATATATTAAAGAAATATTTTTAACATTATTAAGTTAAAAGGAGACAACTAATGATAAGACTATCAAAGAATATTTTTAACATTATTAGCTCAAAGATGATAACTTATGATAATTAAAATATGAGATTTTTAAATATTATAATTGTTTTAACCATTTTCTTAGTTTAGATCAAAGAGATATATAAGAAAAAGAAAAGAAAAAACATGATTATATATATTAGTTTCATAGTCATCGCTTGGTTCTATAATAACATCTTTGTAGGAGGATTATCTACAATTATTTTTATAGATCTTATTATTGTGGACTCTTTTTTTATAGGGTCAAAGTCTTTACCATAGACACTGGTTGTTATGTTCTTTTGAACAAGACATCGACTAATTAAATTTATTATCTTTCACCAACAGTATTTACTATTACAACTTTATTCAAAAAAAATAAAAAAACTATTATATTTTTAATGAATAATTTTCACTTTAAAATTAAATTAACCAAATTAAAATTATTGTATATTTTTTTAGATTTTATTATTGTGGACTCTTTTTTTATAGGGTCAAAGTCTTTACCATAGACACTGGTTGTTATGTTCTTTTGAACAAGACATCGACTAATTAAATTTATTATCTTTCACCAACAGTACTTACTATTACAACTTTATTCAAAAGAAATAAAAAAACTATTATATTTTTAGTGAATAATTTTCACTTTAAAATTAAATTAACCAAATTAAAATTATTGTATATTTTTTTAGATTTATGAATTTAGTCATCAAATAATCCTAATAGATATATTTGTGTGTGTATACTTGATATTATATTAAAATTTAAAAAAATATGTACATATAATATTATAAAATATTAATAATAGTATGATGTATATGTAAGAAGAAAATGATAAAAGTTATCATATTTTAATAATTTCTAATTCATCACCTATCTCAAAATAAAAAATTTAATTATTAGAATTTAATAAAATAACTTAACAAAACAAATTATAATATTTTATTGTTAAATAAAAATTAAAAATAATAAAATGAAACTAAGTCTTATCCAATTTAGTTAAGTAATTTGAAGAGTTCCACCTTACAAGTCAAGCCCACGATAGTGGTACCCTTAACACACCATTAATACAAGTAGATATTAGATCATCCGAGTAAAATAATATCATTAATTATGAAAGTATGACTTACATAAACAATCAGTGATAGATTCATTCAATTTTCTTCCTTTTTAATTGGTAAAATTAATTAACATCGCTCTCTATAATTCAATCAATTGATATATTATTAATCTCTAATATTATATTATTAATTATTTTCATAAACCTTATTTTCATAATTGGTAATTTTTCATTTCATGATATTTTAACATAAAATAAATGTTAATAGTAATAACACCCAAATTAATATCACTAATATCACATATACTAAGCATAATAAGTATTTGTTGCCACTTCTACCTAACAAAAAATTTTAGCAAAAAGTAGATAATATTTTAGTTGAAATTTGAAAAAAGGAGAATGGGTTATGGAGGTGTGAACAAGGGATAAAAATATAGGAAAAAAGCGAGGATAAAAATGAACAAAAAGGTAAATATCTTTGTAGAGTTAAAAGAGGTGAGAATGATTTGTGGTGGTGTTAAAGAAAGATAAAAGAAGGAAGAAAAAAAAAAGAATGAAAAAAAATTGTAGGAGGTCAAAGAGTGAAATAAAAAGTTGAGGCATAGATGATAGGTAAAAAGAAGAGGAAAAAAAGCTAAAGAAAAAAGAAAATATTTTTAATCAAGGTTTAAAGGAGGGGAGAGAAACATGTCATAGATGTATGGATGAGAGCTAAAAAGAGAAAGAAAATAACGAATATAAAAGAGAAAAATTTTGTTTGAGTTTAAAGAAAGAAGAAAATAAGTCATGAAGAGGTAAATGAGTAGTAAGAAGAGGAAGATGAAGGAAAAAAAAATGAAACAATAAAAAAATCACCATAAAGTACTAGATAATAAATTATTTAAAATATTTTTGTAAGTTAAGGGACTAAAATAAGAAAAAGAAAAAAAATTAAAGAACTAAATTAAAACAAAATAAAGAATTAAGAAATTAATCTACTAATTTTTCTATTATTTAAAATACAAGTAAATTATAATAATTAAACAACAACTTATCATAAATTAATATATACATTTTTGTACTAACACAAATAACTATTCAAACCTTATCATTTGTCATCCATATCTCAACCTGATATTGAGTTATTTCTTTGCCTTAAAAGATTA